GTCAAAAGATCACAAATCGTATCTAGTCGAAGACATTACCCTTAAAAATTGAAAAAAATTCCCTCGTTCCCCGTAAAAGGGGGAAACCTCCAAAAAAATTACAAATTTAAAAATCGCTAATTTTCGAAATTTTTTCAATTTTTTTTACTTAAAAGTGCCATAACTTTTTCAAAAATAAACATATCAATATAATTCTTTTTTATATAGATGCATAATATCATTACCTTTCATTTGGTATATTTTTTTCATAAATTTAACCCTTAACCTGCCCACAAGGGGGGATTTAAAATGACAACTTTTTCACAAAAAATTAATTTTTTTAACTTAAATTTTGAAAATGTTCCGGAAGGTCTGACACTTTTATATATATCTTAAATTAAAGCTAATGTAATATGCTTTATCATGAAAAAAAAAAATTTCGGACTTTATCTTATCTTCATGGTGAAAATGGCTACCGAATGCTATTTTTGTGTGAAAATTTTCGATTTTGTATTTTCCATTTTTAACTTTATTATGCTATAACTTTTTGAAAAATGTATGAATCATTACAATTTTTTTATGAGAAGTAGTATTTATATAGATCTTTCATTCGACATACTGTTTTTTTAAATCGGACCATTTCCCTAAATACAGGGGGGATTCAAAACATAAAAATGCATATAGAAAGTAGAACTTTTTCAACTTAACTTTTGAAAGTGTTCCGGAAGGTCTGACACTTTTATATATATCTTAAATTAAAGCTAATGTAATATACTTTATAATGGTAAAAAAAAATTTCGGACTTTATTTTATCTTCATGGTGAAAACAGACATTAAACTTAATAAAAAAAATACGATTTTTTTGAAAATGTTCCGGAAATACTGCGTCCTTTAAACATATATCAAATTAAAGCTTTTTTTATGTACTATATAATGAAAAAAAAAAATTTGTCCCGACACTTTTTCTTCTACATTTAAACGGCTGCCGTAGTTAAAAAAACACTATTCTTATCAACTTATTTATATAAAAATATAAATAAGTTGAAAAAGTTAATTTTTGTAAAAAAGTTACTATTTTAAATCCCCCCTAATGAGCAGGTTAAGTGATAGATTTTTAAAAAAAATGATATCAAATGAAAGGTAGATATTTAAGGTTTTAGTATAAAAAAAAATTATGTTGATTTGTTGATTTTTCAA